TTTGTGTCCTCACTTATTTCAGTTTTCTCCACCCTCAATGGGTCTTAATAGTCTTACATTCACACCATAGACGATGTCAACAAGTTGCCCTTGATATATAGTATGAGTTTTTCAAAAATATGTTAAAAAATGAGATTTTTTTTTTTTTGAATAAATCTAAGAAAATATAATTTAATATTTGTTATAAAATAATATAATTTTATTAATCAAAATAGAAATGAAATAAAAATTTTATACAACTATTATTAATTTTTATTTCTTTCTATAATTCGATAATACAATTAAAAAATTATTAAAATAAAAATGAAATAAAAATATTTTTTTTTATAAAACTATTATTAATTTCATTTTTCTTTCTATAATTCGACAAATACAATTAAAAAAAAAACGTAATTAGTCATCAACAACAAACTATTCACTCACCATCCCCTATATATTAATCCAGAACGCGCTGAGCCTACGTGGCTGCTTCTGGTGTTTCGGAATCCTATGTGGCAAAATTACATGCTTCGTTGTTAGGCTAGGGTAAATTTAATTTAATTCCAAACAAAAAATAATTAGGTTTGGATTACCATAAATATGTTGATTATTTATGGTCATGTTACATGTATTAATTGCATTTTAATATCATTCCTTATTATAACTATTGAATTGTATATATATAATAAAAGTTAATAACTTTTGTATTTTTTATCAGTTTTACATATGTAATATATCAAATTAATCTTCTTTTGATAAGCTTCGATTTAACATCCATACCGTATGTATAAAAAAGATAATTTATATTTATCTTTATAACAATAATAAAATTATTTTTAATATTAATTAGAAAAACAAAATTATTTATCAATTAATATATTTATATTTCAAGTAGTTATATGATAATGATATAAGTTATAAAAACAAATATAATATAACACATGTAAGTCATAAGTAACACATATCATTCTAAAATATATAGTAATATATTTTTTTTGTAAAAAAGTAAACTAATTTTAATATAATTTTTTCATGCATTTTAAAATTTAAGATAAATTTTTTAACAAGCACCCGTGTATTTACACGGGTGTTGTACTAGTTATATCTATAAATTTGAATAATTCCCTCCTTCACATATATTTTTTTTTTACTGTTAGTTATTATTAATTAATATTCTCTTATTTCCTAGAAAATTATTATGGGAGGTGTTACAGTCTCATTACTGAACCTTCTCATCCGAGTTTCTAACTGTTAAATTAACTATTTAACTTGAAAGACACTTGATCTAATGTTTACCAACTCACAAGTAGTTCATTATTATATCCAAAACATTTGGTAGTGTTGGCCTTTTCTTGATTAGTTTATTCAGTCATGTCTACCCCCTCACACGTATATATACACACAGATTTTGTATGTATAATCGTCGTCTCCTACATGAAACCACACCTCTGTACTCTCCAGCTAAATACGTTTTTCTCTCTCTACGCCTCTCATCAATTACCCAATTGAAGCTTTCTCTCTCCACAATCCACCATCGACTCAGGCCACACAGCGGAATACGTCTTTCTCTCTCTCTACGCCTCTCAATTTCCCACTTGAAGCTTTTTCTCTCTCCACAATCCACCATCGACACAGCGCCAAGAGCGCACAGAACACAAAATTTTCTTGTCGATTTAGTTTAAACCATGAAGTGTTTCCAGTTATTCGGCAAACAGAAGCTCAAGGGCGGAGATTCAGCTCCGGAATTGAGCGGCAGAAGCAGAAGGATAAGCAGCGATGAAGGCACCAGCAACCGCGCGGCACAATCGGCGGCCGGCAGCTCGTGTTCCCCTCGCCGGACCATACCTGAGATTTACAGAGCGAGGGAGCACGGCCTGAGGGTGTTTTCTCTGTCGGAGCTCCGTGAGGCGACCAACAATTTCAACAGGCTGCTTAAAATCGGCGAGGGCGGGTTTGGAACAGTTTATAAGGGCTCCCTCAAACCCGCCCCGCCAAATCGGCCCAACATTGTCGCCATTAAGAAGCTCAATGCCCGTGGGCTGCAGGTAAAAAAACACGAGAGAAATCCAATCTATGGGCGTGTTCAAATTTTTTTTTTTTTTTCTAAATTTTTATGAGCTTTTGCAATAGTAAATTCATCGAAAAAATTTCGTTCTTATTGTGTTTGTGTTCGATGATCATCTTTGTGTTGATAAATTACATGTGAAAAATGGGTGATCGGTTAATAACACGCTCCAAGCGTCTTGGTATTTCCTGTTATGAGGCGGGGGAGTCTATAGATAATAAGTCTGTATAGAGAATTTTCATAAGTTGTTGGAGTATCACTTGTGAGTTGTCCCACATTGATTCTATAGGAAAAATGAGTCTAGTATATGAGCCAAGTGGGCTACACCTCCGATCACCAATTGGTTTTGCCCCTCGTTTCTCTAATCTTACATAAGCTGCATTGTGAATCCATTTCTGCTAGTCGTTGAGTTGGTTTGGAGCATTTCAAATGTATCTTAAAAGTTGGGGTTTTCTGGGTTATCTGGTTCGAGTTTTGACAGTTTCCGATTAATTGAGATTAAACTTGGTACTCAAAAGTCTTCTTCTTTGCCATATCTTATATATGTTGTTCTACTTTTTCAAAATAATTGACCTCTGAGTAATGCTGAACTTTTTTCCTCGTTGTTCATTGATAAATTAAGCTTTTATAGAAGGTATAAATTTCACAATTGTTTATTCTTCAGAACATATATTTGTCTACTTCTGTCTGTTTGTCTGTCTGTCTTAAATACTCACGTTGCTAATGCGGCATGCCCTGTAATTTGCCACCACACCTAGTTAATCAGTTTTAGGAGGGTAGGGTACACTTGCATGGACCATCTAAAACGTGAAGCGCTTGATTGACTCTTTATAGCTTATTTAGTAGCATGAATTTGTAATGCATGAGTTTTTAAGCGTTAAGCATCAATAACTATTGACGAATCTGGGGCTCTCTAATAGCATCCACAATGCTTTTGGTTGGTCTAATTTTGCTTACATGGCATGTAAATAGACCCACGTTTTGGATGATATTAAATGAAAATAACTAAATTCATTCCAATGCAAAGAGACCGGGTCTCTACATGAGTCTAGAAGAGACTTAAGGGTGGACTGAGTCTCTTTTTCTTGCTGTCACATCAGTAGGATCCTGTCCACTTCCACTTCGATTGGAAAATATCTTTTTCTATGGTGATAAGAATAGTGAACTCGTAACCCTCCACGGAGTCAGATTAGTACTTCAATATATCACACTTCGAATTAAGTCTGTGTCATTTTGTAGTTTCTTCATAGTTTATCTAGAGTTTAATATTAATTTTTTCGTGGATCATGTAGGGCCACAAGCAATGGGTTGCGGAGGTACAATTCCTTGGTGTACTGGATCACCCCAATCTCGTGAAGCTTTTAGGATACTGTTCCTTGGATGGAGAGAGGGGAATACAAAGGCTCTTGGTTTATGAATACATGCCTAATAAAAGCTTGGAGGACCATCTTTTTAACCAGGCTGTGCCAACAATTCCTTGGCTAACCAGGATAAACATTATCCTTGGGTCGGCTCAAGGAATGGCATATTTGCACGAGGGCTCTGAAGTCCAGGTACTTTATTTTTCTTATATTTGCAATTTCCAAACACTGCTTACTAGAATGGCTGAGTTCTGTGTTTGGCGAACAGAGCGCGCATGAATTTTTTTCAACAGCTAGATAAGATCCGATTCTTGTGGCCACTTATAAATGATTTAGTCTTATAAAAGTTAGTGTTTTCCTTTACTCGTGTTGAAAAAACTGTGACTTCAACAATGATATACTAGGAATTGTTAGTTACTTTTCTTCGAGATCCTATTATTTTCCATCAAATTTTCTTCAAGACCCTACCGTAATTGATGAGCTGCACATATTTAAAATTTTAAATCAATATTATTCCTTGGCACCGAGAACTTAGTGAAGCAGCTAGGGACTGGCAGAAGGCTCATCTTAAATCTCATTTTTAGGTGCCAAATAATTAGCTCGTGTTCCTATGCAAGCTTAAATGTTGACGCATACATATTTCTTTTAATATTGTTGTTTTATCTGACCAACTCTCATGTTCTTAAATGCGAAGGTGATATATCGAGATTTCAAATCTTCCAATGTGCTACTGGACAAGGACTTCAATGCCAAACTCTCTGACTTTGGGCTGGCAAGAGAAGGCCCAATTGGGGACCGCACGCATGTATCTACTGCGGTAAGTCCATGGGACGATTTATGATAAATTAGGACTCTGGCTTAATTTAGATGGACATGTGGAACAATATAA